AAACAAGAACCTGATAAGGAGAAAATGGAAGATATTAAAAAAAATAGATCAACATGGAACTTCTAGAGAATAAAAATAAAGTATCTGAAATAAAAAAAAAATACACTGTATGGAATTATTAGTAGATTATATATTGTAGGAAAAAAGATCAGTTAACTTGAATATACAGCTATCGAAACTACTCAAAATGAAGCACAGAGAAGAAAAAAGAGTGAAGAAAACAAACAGTACATCAGTGAGCTGTACGACAAGAGCAAGAAGTATAATACATGTGTAACTGGGTTCCAGAAGGAGTTGAGCTAGAGGCAGAGAGGTAAACTGCAATAACATTATTTGAAGATGTAGATTGTAAACCCTAGAGTAACTACTAAAAAATAAAGAGGCATGACTAATAAACTGACAGTAAATATAAAATAAAAATAGACTCATAAAAAAATAGTCAATTAACTCATACCAAAAGAAGGCAGGAAAAATTAAAAAAAGGAACAAAGACTAGCGGAATAAAGAGAAAATAAATAACAACATTGTAGATTTAAACCCAAATATACTGATAGGTACTTTAAATACAAATGGTTGAAACACTAAAAGACAGAGATTGTCAGATTTGATATAAAAGTATGACCCAACTAGATGCTGTGAGTTAGGCAAATATGTCCACATCCTAATCATGAGAATTTATGAATATGGTAGGTTATGTGGCAAAGGGGAATTAAGGTTGCACATGGAATTAAGGTTGCTAATCCGCTGACCTAAAATAAAGGCATTATCCAGCATTATCGGAGTGAGCACAACATAATCACAAGGGTCCTTAAAAATGGAAAAGAGAGACAGAAGAGGTCAGAGGCAGAGGAAGATGTGTCTATAGAAAAATGATCAGAGATATGCAATGTTGCTAGCTTTAAAGATGGAGGAGGGGGCCACAAATTAAGGAATGCATGTGGTCTCTAGAAGCTGGAAAAAACAACCATACGGATTTGCCCCAAAAGCCTCCAGAAAGGAATGGACTCCTGCTGATGCTTTGATCTTAGCCCACTGAGACCCAAGTCCAACTTCTGAACTACAGAGCTGTAAGATAATAAATTTATGCTGTTTTAAGCCACCGACTTTGTGGCAATTTGTTACAGCAGCAATAGAAAACTAACACATGCTGTTTATAAGAAACCAACTTTAAATATAAAGACATAGAAAGATTAAAAGTGAATGAATGGAAGAACATTCTAACCCTAATCAAGAGAAAGGTGAAAGGTTAGTAATATGAGATGAAGTAGATTTATGAGGAAAAAATTCCATCAAAAATAAAAAGGGTCATTTCATAATGATAAAGGGGTACCTTCATAAAGGAGACCTAACAATCTGAAATATTTATGCACCAAATAACAGAGCTTCAAAATACATGATACAAAAACTGATAGAACTGAAAGGAGAACTAGAAATACTTATAATTATAGTTAGATAGTTTAGTATTCCTCTCTTGGTAACTGATACTACAAGTAGGCAACAAACAAACAAACAAACAACCAATAAGAATACAAGATATCTTAACATTATCAATCAACTAGACCTGACCTTATGCAACCCTCTTACCAACAAGCATGGAATAACACATTCATTTCAACCACCCATGGAACATTTACCATTCTTTTGGACAATAAAAAGTCTTAAAATGTAAAAGGTATAAAAATCATAGAGTATATTCTATAACCACAATGGAATTTAACTAGAATCAATAATAAAAAGATATCTGGAATACCTCAAATATTTGAAAATTAAACAACGTGCTTCTAAATAACTCATTAGACAAAGAAGAAACCAGCAGGGAAATGATAAAATATTTATTTTTGAATTGAATAAAAATAAAAACACAAAGTATCAAAATTCATAACCTATTTATCTATAGCAGTGATTAGACTAAAGCATTAAATGCATGTATCAGAAAAAGAAGAAAGGTTTAAAATCAATGATCTAAGGTCACCATGAGTTGGAATTGACTCGATGGTAACTAACAACAACAAGAAAAAGCCTCCACCTGAAAAACACTAGAAAACGAAGAGCAAAATAAACTGAAGGAAGGAAATAATAAAGCTCCTACTTGAAACCGATGAAATCAAAAGCAGAAAAATAACAGAAAAATCAATGAAACCAAAAGCTGGTGCTTTGTAATAAAACTGATAAACCTTTAGCCAGAATGATCACGGAAAAAAAGAAAGAAGACACACAAATTGCCTAGATCAGGGATGAAAGAGGGGTATTATTGTAGATCCTACAGAAATCAAATTGGATAACAAGAGGATATTATGAATAACTTTATGTCAATAAGGTTAAATGAGCTTTAGATGAAACGGACAAATTCCTTTAAAGACACAAACTACCAAATACCACTCAAGATGAAACAGATAACCTTAATATCCCTATACGTATTAAAGAAATTTAATTTGTAGCTAAAAACCTTCCAACAAAGAAAACTCTAGGCCTGATGGTTTCACTAGAAAATTCTATCAGACATTTAAGGAAGAAATAATAACAATTCTACACAAAGTTTTCGAGAAAATAGGGGGGGAGGGAACATTTCCTAACTTATTTTATGAGGGCATTAGACTGACACTAAAACAAAGATATTAGAAGAACAGAAAATTGTCCTTATTTGAAGAGAAATCTATGCAGAAAATCTTAACAAATCTACAAAAAGCTACTAATAAGTGAGTTAAGTAAAGTTGCAGGATACAAAGTCAATGTACAAAAAAAAAAATCAATTGTATTGCATATGAGATAGTAAATAATAATGGGAAATTGAAATTTAATACAAGTTACAACAGCATAAAATACAAAATAGTTATAAATTTAACAAAATATGTACAAAATGCATACATTCAAAACTACAAGAAGAGAAAAGTTAAATATGACCTAAATAAATGGAGAGACATACTACTTTCAGGAACTGAAATACTCAGTACTGTTAATATATCAATTCTCCCCAAATCGGGCTACTGAGTCAATGCAGTCCCAATCAAAACTTCTAGTTTTTTTTTTTTTTTAAATAGAAATTGATTAGCTGATTTTAAAATTTATATAAAAAGGCAAGCGACTCAGACTATCCAATAGAATTTTAAAAGAGGAAAAAGTATTAGAGGGTTTACCCTACCTGATTTTTCACACTTACTATAAAATTAGGATAGTATGGTATTAGCATAAGGATACACAGAAAAGAGTCCAGAAACAGACCAACATATAAATGGTCAATTGATTTTCTAAAAAGGTGACAAGGTAATCCAATAGGGTAGGATATTCTTCAACAAAAAGTGATGAAACAATTGAATATCCATAATTTTTTTTTTTTAAAAAAGAATCTCAACTTTTACCTTATACTACATATAAAAATAAAATTGAAATGGATCATAGTCTTAAACATAAGAGCTAAAACTATAAAATTTCTAGAAGAAAACATAGGAGAAATCTTTATGGCCTTGGGATGGGGAAAGATTTCTTAGATTAGAATCCCAAAAATATGAACCATAAAAGAAAAAAGAAAAAATTGGACTTACTCAAAATTAAAAACTTTTGCTCTTTGAAAGACACTGTTAAGAAAATGAAAAGACAAGCCACAGGCTGAGAAAATGTTTGCAAAACATATAACTGATAAAGGATTTGTATTGAGAATATATAATAAACTCCTATAACCTAATAAGATAAACAACCCAGTTAAAAAATGAGTAAAATATTTGATCAGATACGTTACCAAGAAAATATATGACAAATAAGCACATGAAAATATGCTCAATATCATTATTCATTAGGATATCATTATTTCTTAATAATTATTCATTAATGAAATGCAAGTTAAAACCACAATGAGATTCTACTTCATCCACACTAGGATAGCTAAAATTAAAAAAGACTGATAATACCAAGTGTTATCGAGGATGCGGAGCAACTGGAACTCTCTATACTGCTGGTGGGAGCAAAACGGTACAGTCATTCTGGGAAGCAGTTTGGCATGTTCTTATAATATTAAGAAGCCCTGGTGGTGCAGTGGTTAAGAGATCGACTCCTAACCAAAAGGTCAGCAGTTTGAATCCACCAGCTACTCCTTGGAAACCCTATTGGGCAGTTCTACTCTGTCCTATAGGGTCGCTATGAGTTGGAATCAACTCGATGGCAATGGGTTTGATTTAGTTTTTAGTTTATAATGTTGAAAAAACAAAAACACAGCATACAACCCAAGAGAAATAAAAACATTTGTCCACATAAAGACTTGTACATGAATGTTATTAGTAGCTTTATTCAAACAGTCAAATACTGTAAACAACCACAATGTTCATCAGTTGGTGAATGGATAAAACAAACAAACTAGTATACGGTAATGCATACATATTGCTGAATACTACTCAGCAATAAAAAGGAACTACTGATTCGCAAAACAATGTGGGTGTATCCCAAAGGCATCATGCTAAATAAAGAAGCCAGACACAAAAGACACAAATGATTTCATTTATATGAAGTTCTGAGAAAGGCCGAACTATAGTGAGAGAAAGTAGACAGTGATTACCTTTGGTAGGAGAGAGGGGGAAGGACTGGCTAGAAGTGGGCATAAGGGAGCTTTTTGTGCCAATGGAAATGTTCTCTATGTTGATTGAGGTAGTTCCATGACTATATATACATTTATCAGGACTCACAGAAATGTTCACTTAAAAACTGGTGAATTTTATTGTATATAAATTATACCTAAATAAAGTTGATTAAAAAATAATGAACTGTATATCAAAATATGCCAAAGGGCATTTTTCTACTGTAATAGTTATAAAATTACTATTACTTTTATAGTATAAAAATACTATATTTCTTAGTATAGAAATACTATAAAAGTAATAGTTAATAAAACAATCTTCCAGTTTGTGCTCACATTATCTTCTTCCTCTTTGTAGGAAGATAATTTTGAAAGCACATACATTCAGAGAGCACAATCCAGTTTTTCTTCTGAAAACAATGTTCTCCATGATCCTTACCAAGAGTAGTGAGTCCCTCGGAGATACTTGTGAGAACGTACAGGAATACAGGAGGCTCTAAGTTGGTGATGAAGCTCATGTGGTCCTGGGTGAGACATTCCAGAAGTGGATAATAAGACTGGCTCAGTTTCCGATATTGCTACAACACAGAGATATACTAAACGTCAAGCTACAGGGAAGAATAACATAGACATGCTACAGTCCAGTGGAAACTGCCATTTATAATATTGGAAATTATAAACTTACCTAAACACAAGGCCAATAAATATATAGAACAAATGACATAATGATTCCCAATTCAGCATTTAAAGGAGTTGTAAAAGGAATCTCTTGATCTCTAGAAACCTTAATTTGAAGCTATAGTATATATGGCATTTCATTTTCATCTTGTACAGCTTACACTTAAATGCAAGTAAATCTCTGCAGTGTGAAATTTAGCAGACTGTGTGAATTATTTTTCTGGACTGGAATACTGTAACACTGAACAGTGCTTAACAGGGACTAGACAATCTTTTTTAAACCACAAAGAAATCTGCTGTTATAATAGGATTTGGCATTATAGTCCACTGTATTCACACAATGCTAACCCATTAACTAAATCATAATTTGGTAAATGGCTTAATATCCACCATACACCATGGGCAAAAGAGAAATGCCCAAGATAGCTGGAACACTTCAAATGCACCCCAAACCAATATCAAAGAAGTACAACACTCACAAGAGAAAGAAACTAGACCTGCATTTCTTGAAGTGAGATTAAGACCACCTCCGTAAGAATCACTTGGGGTGCTTGCCAAAAATGCAGTTTCCTGAGCTCCATTTGAGACTAACTAAATGAAAAGCTCTGGAGTGAGGCCCTGAAATGTGCATTTTTAACATATACATTAAGAGAGTCTTACACACACTAAAGTTTATGACTCGCTGAACTAGAGTTTTACTTGTCAATTAGAAAACAGGTGAGAGAAAAATTCTGGAACCACATCAGTTTTCTTGCTGGATCTCAACTGTATGAAAAGTTCCATAAACGAGGCAGCTGTAACATATGGCTCGTCTAACTCAAGCTTCTACTTTGTAATTTCTGTCATGCAGGCATAGCCTTTCATGTGCATTCCAATCTACTATAAAAGGTTTAACAACCTTGGATTGAGATGTGGTTCTATTAAGACTAGTTTAGAAAGGTGGAAGAGGGCACCACTAGTCCATTACAAGGGCAAGGAGCATTTCTCACACAGGTTGACTGAAATGGCCCCCAGATCTTACTTGTAACCTTGGGGTGGGAGTAGGCGGGGAAGCTTGGACTAAGCCTGCACATGAATTTGGCCGTGTAACCCGAGTAATTACTGCAACCACATTGGGCACATATTGGCTTCCGTGTAATCAGGTAGAGATGTTAAAAAAATAAAAAAAAGTCTGATAATGACATAGCTCAGTGGAAGGGCCTGGAAATTTCAATTTCCAACAAGCACCCCAGGTGATTCCGAAGGGCCTCAAAGTTTGAAAACCAATGATGTAAATCATAGAAACTAGATAGCAGAGCAGAAAAGGGACCTAGAGATCACTTACTTTAATCTCCTCATTTTAAAGGTGAAGAAATTGAAGCCTGGAGAATTAGAGTGATTTATTTAAGGTAAATGCCTAGTGAGCGGCAGAACTGAGATCATACACCAGGTTGCTCAGCTTTCCGTCCACCATACCAGAATTCTAATGGAGGGAAAGGCCAAACAGTAGGGGGAGTAGAAAGGGTAGCATGGAAGGAAGGAGAAGATTCTGCAGCTAATCCTGCATTTTCTGCTCCAGAGACTAAAGACTTTTTTGAATTATGAGTATAATCGTAAGCAATTAGTTGAAACTGCTAATTAAATTTTCTCGAGATGCAGAACCTGGAGCACTCTGGATGACCAATTTGTCAGAAGGTGGTAGCTGCAGATTTCTAAAATGCAAATTTAATTATATAAATACAGTCACTATAGTTGTCCAAATTCTGGATGTTAAATCAAGTATGCTGTTTTAAAACATAAAATATTCTGGTGCTATTCTAACTCCCTTGGCTTCATTCTAACAATTCCAAACCTGTGGTGGTGTTACTGCATATTTCACACAAAGACTTCCATGATGTATGAGTGCTTACTAGCAAGTCACAGTGGGACACTGACAGCAGCATTTTGACAAAGGCCTGGAGTACATTGTCAAAATGGTTGTCCCCATACAACTTGAAGACGCCAAAGCTGACATAATTTCCACACAAGGCAGATTTGAGAGCTGAATAGCAGATGGAGATGCCCTTGAGTTTCATTGGATAAATCTGATCTTTTGAGAGGCTCCCCAGGGACAGGATCTGATTACCTGTTTTAGGGTAAAAGCAGAAAGAGAAAGTGACATAAGCAGATGTAATTCAAAGCAGTTATGGGGAAGACTATTTAACATTTTCACTTTACTGCTAATACTCACTTTCCCTCACTATTGTTCCAAAAATTGCCCCATTTGTTGTAACGAAAAATGTATGAGGCAGTTTACCTGGGGAAGTACAAAGGGCCCAAAGAAAAACACTCAAGGGTGTTGGAAAAGTTCTACATTTTTTATCTGCACAGTGATCACATGGATATATACACAGATCTGCAAAAACTCATTGAGTTGTACTCTTAAAACCAGTTCACTTAACATACTTTTATGTATCTATGCTATACCTCAATAAAAAGTTTAAAAAAAAAGTAGAAGAAAATAATTAACTAAGTCAAGAAAAAAAGATAACCTAGACTGAGATGTAAATTACTCTAAATTCTAGGGTGAATTTTCAACCTTGTTATATGAACTTGACCTGGAGTTGCTTCACTTTAAGGAACCTCACTGGTTTGGTATGTGAATCAAATGAAACAGACACGTAAGAAGTTCTCGGCACAGTGCACAAAATATTACTTCCTTTTCCTGCTTAGATCCCTTTTCAGAAGATCTCAAGAGATGATTGTTTATAAAAACAACTGTACTTAAATTCTACGTTGACCATCAAAAGACAAAAAAAACCTTCATATAATCACCTTGTCTTAGTCATCTAGTGCTGCTATAAGAGAAATACTACAAGTGGATAGCTTCAACAAAGAGAATTTATTCTCTCACAGTCTAGTAGGCTACAAGTCCAAATTCAGGGCGTCAGCTCCAGGGGAAGGTGCTCCCTTGTTCTGGGAGCATCTCAATGCAGGAACCTCAGGTCCAAAGGACGCGCTGCGGTCCCGACACTGCTTTCTTGGTGGTATGAGGTCCCCAACTCTCTGCTTGCTTCCTTTTATCTCTTGAGAGATAAAAGGTGGTGCAGGTCACACCCCAGGGAAACTCCCTTCACATGGATCAGGGATGTGACGTGGGCAAGGGTGGTGTTACAATCCCACCCTAATCCTCTTTAATGCAAAATCATAATCACAAAATAGAAGACAACCACAGAATACTGGGAATCATGGTCCAGCCAAACTGATACGCACGTTTTTTGGGGGACATAATTCAATAATCTATGACACTCCTTAAATTTTTCTATAGTAGTTAGCATTTACAAACAATTTGTTTCTGAAATGTGTGCTAGCTAGGCGTACTACTAGGTAAGAACCAAGAATGCTGTTTTAAAAAATATAAAGTCATACATGTTTCTTAGCCCTGCTTTTTTCTATTCAACTGTGTACTGCTTCTAAAGTTGAAACTAAATTCTATTTACAGAATTTAGAGGTATACTGTGGTGGTTTTATACTGTGTCAACTTGCCTAAACAAGAATTAAGCTTCCCAGAACCCATTCCCCTTTATGGTTGTGGGCTAGAATAGGCCAAAAGAGAAATTTCTGTGAGATTTGGAAGGTGGAAGTGAAGTAGCAGTCATGACTTTCTGGAGGTCACTGTGGTTGAGGTGGTGAAAATAAGATGCACAAATTCTGCTGGGTTCTAGTCTGTCCTTTTTCTTCCCTGCTTTGTATCCAGAACTACCAGCCTTGCTGACCAATGACCCCAGGTCACTAACCGCTTGAGAGCAAACTCACAGAAACAGCAGCTGTGCCGAGGCAACAGCCTTCCATTGACTTCTACAACACTTCTACCAGCACCCCCTCCTACCCTCCACCCAGCACATCACACTCCAGCAGCTGGAAGTTCCTAGCTTCGAGATTTCCCTGCAAGATCCCACCTGGCAGGCCCATCCACGCCAGTGCTTTAGGAGATTGATGAGTGATTTTTTTCTAAACCTCCAACTCTCCACTTTGGACCTATTTCCTCACCTTCACCTATGACTGCACAAGGTCTTATTCCTGAAATAAATTCCCTATTCCATAAATACAATTGTGCTTTTTCCTTGTTTGAATCCTGACTGATATATAGATTATAATAATCACATGTGCATTAACAGGTTAAAAGGGACCAACACTCCTAGCAGAGCATGAAACACAGGATCAGCTCAGGGTAAAGGCTTACTCTCCTTGATCTGCCTTACTGAAGAGATTTCCATATACTATACATGCTTTCTTCTATGTATCCTTAGAAGCCCATGAGGATTTGCTTATAATTTACACATCTGAATGACAAAACCATTGTCTGAAAGGCTGAAGCATGTCCTAGAATTCATTCACTACAAAATTCTGTACCCTCTCTTACGACCTCATACTAACTTACGTTAGAGAGATATGGTAGTTTCATAAAGATTCAATTCAATATGACAATATAGTAGCACAGTGGTTAAGAGCTCGGCTGTTAACCAAAAGGTCAGTGGTTCAAATCTACCAGCTGCTCCTTGGAAATCCTATGGGGCAGTAACTCTGTCATATATGGTTGCTATGAGTCAGAATCGACTTGATGGTATAGGGTTTTTTTTTTATTAATGTGCGAGATGCTAGGATAAACAAATGATTAAAATAAAACCTCTGCTCTGAGGGAGCTCAGTCTGGTATGGGAAACAGATTTGTAAATAAATAATTCCATAGAATGTGAAAATGCTACCAGAGAGGTTGTGTCAAGATGTTGAGACTAACTCTTCTTGGGCAGGAGAGAGTGGGGAAAGGTTTCACAGAACAGATTACTTCTAAGGATCAACTACAATTTTCCAGGTTGACTCGGAGAAGGAGGAGCGTATTCTAGGAAGATCAAGTGCACAGGCATGGTACTGCAAGAGAGGTCTAAGAAAGCAGGATACTGCAGGAGAGGACAGTTTTCAACTGCTGTTTCTACCTTTACAGAAAATTCAATTTAAACCAAGGTAGACATTTCCCCCACCCCCCTTTCCCAGGAAAGAAGAGCACTGCTTATGTATGATGGTTATTTTAGGAGGGGGGTGATGGTTACACATTTTTGGTTTGTTGGAGAGGCCAGGGTCAGAGGGAGCAGACTGGGTCATCTTTTGGGGCCTTTTTGTGCTGATGTCCTTATGGGCGAAGTAAAAGTCCTATATTCTGCAGCAAAAGATGGAATTGACAGACCAAGAACTGTGATGGGGAAAAGCATCTGATTATAAGGACTGGATAATCTATCATCAAGAAGGATTAATCATTTAGAATCACAACTTTGGTCTCTATATTGAAGCTGTAGTTTGGCAGACATGTTTTGCCTTTCCTTTCGAGCTATGTCAGACACATCTGTAGTAATTAAAACAGTAGTTATTATAACATTATGACACTGCAACAGTAGAATGTTTAATACCTTTTTTGCGATTTTATTTTTTAAATTTTATTCATTTTGTTGTTGTTGAGAATATACACAACAAAACACACCAATTCAACAGTTTCTACATGTACAATTTAGTGACACTGATTACATTCTTCAAGTTGTGCAACCATTCTCATCCTCCTTTTCTGAGTTGTTCCTCCTCCATTAACGTAAACTCACTGCCCCCTAAGGTTCATATCTAATCTTCGAGTTGCTGTTGTCAATTTGATCTCATATAGATAGTTCTTAAAAGAGCACAATGCTCAAAGCAGACCTTTTTTTTTTTTTTTTTTTTAGTTCAGCTAAACTATTGTTTGGTTTTTAAGAAGACTTTGGGAAATATTTTTGGTTTAAGGTTTAAAGATGATCTCAGGGCAATAGTTTCAGGGATTCATCTACCTTCCACTGCTCCAGAAAGTCTAGAATCCATGAGAATTTGAAATTCTGTTCTGCATTTCCTCCCTTTCGATCAGGATTCTTCTGTGGAAACTTTGATCAAAATGTTTAGTAATGGTGGCTGGGCACCAATCAGCTCTTCTGGTCTCATGCAAAGGAGGCAGCTGTTCACGGAGGCAATTAGCTACATGTTCCATATCCTCCTATTCCTGACTATTCTTCCTCCTCTGTTGCTCCAGATGAACAGAGACCAATTGTTGTGCCTTGGTTGGCTGCTTGCAAGCTTTTAAGATCCCATGTACTACACAACATACTAGGAGGTAGAAAAGAAGCACTGAACATGATTTTAGATCAATTAACTGGAATGTCCTATGTAATCATGACCCTAAACCGCCGAATCAAGAAACCAAATCCCATGAGTTCTCTGGTTGTACATAAGCAGCCTAAGCAGCTTTTTATTTTTTTGGTCATTGCTGTAAATGTAACTATCATACAACTTTTAACAGTTCAACTTTTTATAGGTGTACAACTTATTGACAGCAATTACAATAATCAGCTGTGCAATCCTACTCTTAATGAGATATTTTTATCACCATTAAACTCCCCCCCCTTTCTTCCTCCCTCCTGCCCCTGATAACCACTAATAAACTTTGTTCTCTATACATCTGCCTTTTGTCTTTCTATGTAAGTGACCCCCCCCAACCCAAACAACAAATCCACCGCCATTGAGTCAATTTCGACTCATAGCAACTACATAGGGTTTCCAAGGCTGTAAATCTCAATGGAAGCAGACTACCACATCTTTCTCCCACAGAGTTGCTGGTAGTTTCAAACTTCCAACCCTTTGGTTAGCAGTCGACGGCTGTAACCACTGCGCCACCAGGGCTCCTTTATATAAGTAAGGTCATATCATATTTGTACTTTTGTGATTGCCTTATTACACTCAGCATAACGTCTTCCAGCTCCATCCATACTGTAGCATGACGTATCAAGACATCGTTTCTCCTATTGGCTGAGTACTATTCTATTTTGTTTATTCATCTGTTGATGGACATTTAGGTTGTTTCTACCTCTTGGCTATTGTGAATAGTGCTGCAATGAACACTGGTGTACAAGTCCGTTTTCAAGTTTTTTGTGTATATCTAGGAGTGGAATTGCTGGGTCATATGCTAGTTCTATTTTTAGTTTTTTGAGGAACCACCACACTGTTTTCACAACAGCTGTATCATTTTGCATCCCCACCAGCAATGGGTAAGGGTTCCAATTTCCCCACACCCTCGCCA